ACGAGCCTGTGCCGCTATCTGTCTCCTGGGTTTATTAGCTGCCAGCCCGTAAACCTGGAGCAACAATAAAAGCCAATAACGGAGGCAATAAACCACGGCACATGCCGGGAAAAACAACCGGCCGTAACGCAGGAGCAAGCCCAGCTCGGGGACGTGGCACCGGGAACTGTGTCCTGGCCATCCCGTACCGGGTACGGGGAGACGCGGGGTCCTCCTCCCTGTCCCTTGGGTTTATTAGCTGCCAGCCCGTAAACCTGGAGCAACAATAAAAGCCAATAACGGAGGCAATAAACCACGGCACATGCCGGGAAAAACAACCGGCCGTAACGCAGGAGCAAGCCCAGCTCGGGGACGTGGCACCGGGAACTGTGTCCTGGCCATCCCGTACCGGGTACGGGGAGACGCGGGGTCCTCCTCCCTGTCCCTGTCCCTGTCCCTCCTCCCCGGCACAGCCACGCCGCTACCTTCGAGGTCCAGCTTGACCATGCCGGTGTCATCCTCGAGCTCGTTGGTGACCTCGCACTCGTAGCGGCCGTAGTCTTGCAGGGTGACGTTGCGGATGATGAGCGAGGCGTCGCCGAAGCCGTCCTCCTGCAGAGCCGTGCGGCCACGGTAGGCCCCCCCCCCCCGCCGCGCCTTCCCCAGCGCCACAAACACGTCCACGAAGGCCATCGGCTCCGTCACCTTGGTCCACTTGAGGCGGATCTCGGCCGGGTCCCCCGGGGCCGTTTGCACAACCACGGCCCTGCTCCCACCCTCTGCGAGGGACACCGAGCTCAGGGGAGTCCCTGTCCCCAAGCTTGCCCCTGCCTTCATCCCCGGCAGCGCTGGCACACAGGCAGGACCCATGGTGGGGACAAGGTGGCCTGAGGGCGTGGGACAGGCGGCGGGGGACCACCTTTGGGGAGAATTTCCCTCATTTGGGGGCGATTTCCCACCTTTGGGCTGCTCCCACCCTCTGCGAGGGACACCGAGCTCAGGGGAGTCCCTGTCCCCAAGCTTGCCCCTGCCTTCATCCCCGGCAGCGCTGGCACACAGGCAGGACCCATGGTGGGGACAAGGTGGCCTGAGGGCGTGGGACAGGCGGCGGGGGACCACCTTTGGGGAGAATTTCCCTCATTTGGGGGCGATTTCCCACCTTTGGGGGCAATTTCCCTCATTTGGGGTGAATTTCCCTCATGTGGGGGCTTTGCAAACCCCGAGGTGGTTTGGGCAGCTCCTGGGCACCCACACGAGGGATGTCCCAGAGACCCTGATCGTGCTCTAACGAGCGCTAAACCCAACGGCCTGACGGCTGCAGGACGGCTGTCCCCGTCCCGTGGCGGGGGGCCAGCCCAGCTCCCCACTGCGGACCCCCGTCCCCACTCACCCATGACGTGGACCACCTTCTTC